CCCATGGACTTATGTGCATTCAGGTTCCTCAGGAGGTCACGAACCCGGTCTTCTCCTACAAGCAGGAGGGGTTTTGCCCTCCTGGTCCCCCTCATGCCATCCATCAACTCGGGAGGAGTGAGGAGAGACGTTGCCAGTGAAGACTGAGGCAAAAAAGGTGTTGAGTACCTCAGCCTTCTCCTCATCTGCTGTTACCAGCCTGCCAGTCTTATGCATATTCTTTTCACCAATGTCTGTGAAATTTGGTATTTTGAAACCACTTTAAATTGAAGAATATTTGTAAATATTTTTCTCTATGGGAGTGTTGTACCATACTCTCTTGTAAAAAAAATCTCAGTTTCTGGCAATTAGGTAAGAGGTAGAAATAATGCAGTTTGATGACCTGTTTTTGAAGTCCTCTTTACCAGTCTGTCAACTGGAAAAACTTACCTTTTTACCATAAACTGAGCAAATGTGATACAGAAGAGGCTGTACTCTGTGGGATGCCATTTTGGGGCTATAGCTGCATTTTAGTAGTGGTTATTTTAAGATCATGAAGCAAAAAAATACCAGTTGACTTGTCTGAGATGCTGTGTTGGATTATGCATTTTCACTGCAGTCATGATAGCTCTTTAGGAAATGTTCTGATCTCAGTGTAAGAACAAGACACCTTTACTTTACCTGCTAGTGAGCACTTTGGGAAGAGTCCCAGAATGTAAGCATTGCCACTATGAAAAGTAATAGCTGTGTTGGAGCTGCCAACACACAGAGCAAAAATAATGACCTTTTCTTATACTGTAAACCTTTTGAATCTGTTGTCTTCTTAGTATTCATAAGTGCATTATACCCTGGTAAATCTCCTGTACGCAGGCAGTCAGATGTATTACACATTGCCAGCATCCTATAGTAAGTCTTCCTAGAGGCCTTAAATGAAGTAGAAATAGTGCATGGGCTTTGGTTCTCCCTCTCTGCAGGGAAATTTGTCTTCTAAGCAAGGTATCTGGAGGGGGAATACTCTGAGATACTGAGACCTTGTGTTGCAGTAAGACAGTAGTGCTTTCTAATGAGAGTATGCAGCATATTAGGAATTTTCCTATATGAAATGCCACAGTGATGCAGCTGCATTGATTGATCTGTTATCTGAGCTAGCATATCTCCCCATTGTGCTAAACAGACAGGCCTCTCTGTCTTTATCCAGGTGATATATATTCAAATTACATACCCTTTTGTCTATAAAAGGAGGATTAGTTTGGCAGTTCTATTACAGCTTCTGTCAAAGGCAGCTAGCTGATGAAACCATTTCTTTTTGTGTGCCTCTTAATTCACATCTCAAATTCTACATCTGCATAACCCAGGCTTTTGAGAAGATGCTGTCTCACACTTTTGCTTGTTCTGTGGAACAAACTGCTGACGCAACCTGAGGGGACTCAGTGCAACCTCCGTACAGCATTGGGACCGTATCAGCTTTTCAAACTGTGGGGCGAAGTGCCACTCGGGGGAAGTGCAGAGAAGTGATGTTTAGCCTTGTGATCTCAGTCAAACAGTTTAATCTGGGTAGCTGCTAACGAAACCAGCGGGCCTGCTCCTGAGCTAAGTTCGGTTACAGACAACCATGTGTGCAACTGTGCACAGAATCTAGCCCAGGGTCAGCGCTTTGACCACCATCACACAAACCAGCAGTATGATGCTAATCTCTTTGGCTTTAAGCCAGTATGACTGCTGCCTTTCATGGAATAACTCATGTCACCATCATTCCTGTGTATGTAGAGTAGCACAAAGTACCTATTAAAGTGCTGCTCTAGCCACAGCAGCTAGTAAAAGGAAAAACTGAAGTTGCACACTGCAAGTTTTTAAGTTTATGAGAATTCAGGTACCTCAAATGAGGGTTAGGTAGATACTAATCACCTAAATCCAAAATCATTCATCTGTTTCTAGCTCCCCTCTTCCCATCTCACCTCTAGGATTCACTGAGCAGCTGGCTAATCTTGGAGTTTATCTGTCTATCTGATGGTCTGGAGATTACCAGAGATCATCTGTCTGACATCACGTACCACCTACAGTTCACCATTCTGTGCAGGCCAAGGGTTGAGTCACCAAGGGTAATAGACCCTGCCTGAAACATTATGAGATTCAGAGGAGCTCCAGAGTAGTGCCTTGGTCTCCTGGGAGGCCTGAACTGGAGCGTACAGAGAGATCAGATGCCTGCTCAGGAGCAACCTGAAGCTCCAGATGAAACAAGCACAACAGTCAGAACCATTTTTACCCCTACGTACAGCAAGTATTTTTCTTATCTGACCTACTGAGTGAGTTAGTAGAGCTCAGATCGGCACTCTCCAAATACTTCTTTTTTGTCCGTAAGATTTTAGGAGACTACTTTTTTTCCAGAGAAAATAACATGTAATGACTACATGATCTTACCTGCTGGAAGCATTTTTGTTACAACAGTATGTAATCGTGTCACCTGAGCAGTAGTAATTACTAGAATCAGCAGTGTAGAACCAGTCAAAATTATAGTTTGCTTTTAATCTGATAAAAATCTCAGTCCTCTCCCACTCTCCATCTGATTCTAAAGGGCAAATTAAAGTTAAATGTAACACCTTCTTTTCAGTTTTAAATCTTCTTTCCTGCTTCTCCCCCCAGGAGAGCATTGTTGACCCTGTATAATAACATGATGATCTGTCCAACTGACATTTCTTCATGAGGCCTTGCAAATTTAATACCATTAATGGTCATAATTAGGGATCATTAGACTCTTGAGACTAATGTCTGTGTGAGACATTTTGATCAGCCCCACAAGTTGTTTTAAATGTAACATAGGTTCTAAATTACATTTTCTTACAATGCTTCAAGCAAGGTGTGGCCCTCTAATTCTCACCTAATCCTCTTTTAAAGGCCAGAAATTTCTGTAGTGTCTTTTGTACCATAACTCTTGCTTGTGTGTCACTTTCATCTTGCTCCCGCATCAGCTGTTCCTGCCTTCCTTTAGCTGGTTAAGTTTGCAGGCTTTCTGGATAAACCTTTATACCGAGCTGAAGTGCAGACCGCATGCAGATGTGGAATAGCATCACACTGCAGCCAGGCTTCTTCAGACTGTGCTGCTGGGATGGACCAAACAGTTCGGTTCATAGTTCTGTTAATAGTTTGTAATAATAGTGGAGTGAATTCTGGTGTCTAATATTTTTTAGCAGGACTCAAAATGTTACAACAGACCAGGAAAAAAGGTTACTTCAGCAACTCCGAGAAATTACTAGAGTTATGAAAGAAGGAAAATTCATAGATGGCATCTCTCCTGAGAAGGAAGCCGAAGAAGCTCCTTACATGGAGGACTGGGAAGGTAAGCTAGAGCTTTTCTTACCATTACCCTAACAAGGAAAATTGGGTAAGGATTACTGATAGTCCCAGATCCTTTCAGAATTTTTTAACTTTATCCTTCCTTTTCATAAGTCAGTGATCAAAACTTTGCAAGAGGTGGTTTGTTTTCCCAACCCTAATAGAAAGAAAATAGATTTTGAGGCATCCAGCATTTCCTTTAGTGTAAACACTACACTATCTGCTGCCAGAAGTGGCATATGCATATTCACATATGCTCCATCTGCTGATGGGTCTTGGCTGCTGTAGGTTTTTATCTTTCCCTTGGGCTAGATTTCATGCAAAAGCATAAAACCCCTTGGAAATCAGAATCAATATGCTTTGGATAACTTACAGTTTTTACTTTTGATTAGTCATTCATTGTTTGCTCCAGTGTTGTAAAAGTCAACTCCAGGAAGTCTGTCTTTTAAAAATTCTTTATTTTAATGTCCGTTCCATTCCTTGGTGTTCACTTGTTACATACATGTGTTTTCAAGATACCCTAGTTGAGCTGCTCACTATCATAATTTTAAATGCCGATTTAAATCCTTGCTCTTTAAGAAGCTTTCAAAAATGATCCAAAACACAAAGCATAAATAGTGGCCTCGAGCTCTGTTTTCTTAAGCCAAGCTCATGATGCATTTTCTAAAATGAAATGCACAAAATCGTTGACATACCTGTTTTTTGAACTTTATAAATAACACTGTTTATAACAAAAGTCTTCAAAACATGAATCAGTCAATATGTAGACAGAAACAAAAAAAAATGGATTTATTTAAAGATCTAAGATACTCAATTGTCACCTGTTAGCTCCTATAGCTTTCAGCAAAGCTCGCATATTCACTCCTGAAAGTCAGGGTTGATATCCTGGCTCCCTAAAAATAAGTGGAGTTTTCTTGTCATCTCTCAAGAAGTCATATTTTACACATTCTTGCCATGGATTTAATACTGTGAACTGTGTAGAGCATTAAATAGGTGACACGTATACTGGCAGTGCTAAAAACAACTGTTCTAACAAACTTGTGCATCCATCACTGAAGTCAGTGCTACTTTTAAATGCTGGTAACACTTCAAGCTGGGTATCACTTTATTCCTCAGGTTATCCAGAAGAGACCTATCCTGTCTATGATAATTCCGATTGCTTCAAGCGCAAACAGGACACAATCCTTGTAGATTACCCTGACCTGAGCCAGCCCTCCGCAGAAGAGCTGGCAGAAAGAATGGAGGGCATGGAAGATGAGGAGCATCTGTGCAATGAAACCTTGCTATCTGATCTCCCCATGGGAAGGGGCGGTCACGGTTTAACACAGAAAAAGGACAAGGTAACTGGCATCGATGAAGAGGAGAGGGACCTTTATCACAGCCAAAGCACTGAGGAGTGCTGCTGTTGTTACGAGGATGACGATCCTGCTGTCATAGCGGAAAATGCTGGATTCTACTCTGAGAGCTGCAGCGAAGCAGAAGAGTCAACCCAAGAGGACCTGTCTGTGGAGTCAGAAAATGAAAATGCAGCACTGAAAAAGCAAAAAGCCAGTGATTCAGATGAAACAGGCACACTGAGAAAGCGCAACACCAAAGGACTTGAGTAATACAGACAACCGTGGATGTTATCTAGATGGTGAAGGTAGAGGTCATAAACTGTCATTCGTGTGTTTTTTGTTCCCAGTGAAGACTTCTCTGTGTACATATCCTTGTACCAATTTCATTCCTGTGGTGACAATCACTCACATCATCTGCCTGAACTGGAAGCCAATGTCCTCTTTCATGCAGTCTTGTCATGCTTGCCATGATGTTTCTCCTTGCTTTTTGGAGACTGGTGTCTTGGAGCAGATTATTTGGTTCAGATATTTGTGATTCTTTCTGATTCTGAAGGAATAGTCCTTGGTTTTGCCCTTTGTCATCCCAGAGTTAACCAAATGCCTCTTCTGACTTTCTCAAAAACATCTGTTTGTGTGCTACCCGTTACAAAAATTAATCAAATCCATATACATTTATGAGATTACCAGGAAGATGGAGGAGAAAGTATGCCTTCTTTCTCTTACCTGAATGCTAACTGATGAGCAGAACAGACTGTAGTTACAGGCGCGACTCTTTCTCAACTGTGTCATTGCCGCTGTACACCTGAGAAACTGTTGTCCCTCCAGTTGACGAAATTGATACGCTGCCTCAACCCACAGCCCATTTCCCAGCTTATTCTGTGCTGCAGGACCAGTAGCCTAATCTATGTTGTGTCCCAGGAAGAGCATGAGCAAGACTGAAGTGTTACGAGTTTGTCTTTGCCATAGCTGTGGTAAAACGTCTTGGTGAAATTCCCAGATGAGTGCAGGAATCGGACCATACTTTGTGTTAGAAAAGAACACTAAAAATATCCCTGGGGGCTAAAAAAAAAAAAAAAAAAAAAAATTAAAGAAGGTTTGTGCTTAAAAGTAGAGAAGGGAGGGAGGGTGAACCTCAGACTGAAAAGGAGCCCCACCACCTCCAGGCCCCAAGGGTTTCCCTTGGTGGCCCCTGACAGACTCATGTCACACCAGGACAGCATCCTGAAGGATGCCAGGCCCTCTCCCTCGGGACTCCATGCAGAGGAGATGGCACCTCCCCACGCCCTAGGGGTAGGGCCAGGGGATGGGGAAGAAGGGCCCACGCAACATTCAGCAGTCAGCAATTCTATCATGGAGTGATGGGAGCATTAGCTGGGAGGCCCAACCTCTGTGCCTGGCTGTCCTGCAAGCTCACCCGTTCCATCTCCCGGCATCAACAATTACTGTATTGACTGCCATGGGTGGTGTGAACCCCCCACCCCTCCAGAAGGGGTGCCATCTCCTCTGCTCTGAATCCCAAGAAAAGGGGATGAGATGACCTGGCTTCTGCCAGGCTGCTGGGCTGGGGCAAGAGGAGTTGCCCCTCAGAGGGCCACCAAAGTCCCTGGGGCCTGGAGGTGGGGTTTCTTCAGTCTGAGGATGAGAAAGTTGCCTGATGGGTCGTTGAAGATGAAGCCAGACCCCCTGTGGCTGTGCACGAAGCACAGCAAGACAGCAAGCAAAGGGAGAAGCAGAAGACTACAGTGCTGCCAGGGAGAAGGGCTGGCCTTCAGCATGAAGGTCCCTTCTAGCTGCTTCATGAGGAGTTCTTTTCAAGGTCAAGGCATAAACAATTTTAGAGAAAGCCTCAAACCAATAAACCAAGAAAAGAACAGTCAAAATGCTCTCCTCCTCTTTTATTTGGTCCTTTGGCAACTGCATCTGGACTCCTCTGTCCCCTCCCCGTCTCCTCAGCCCAGGAAAGACACCCATGTGTGGGCTGTGGGCCTAGCCCAGGGCCTTCAAGATGGTGAGGGGCTGGGGCACACAGCACACAAGGGTGGCCTGAGGGACCTGCCTCTGGTCACCATGGTGCTGAGACACTGGAGCAGGTTGCCCAGAGAAGGTGTGGATGCTGGGGTGAAAGAAGCTGGGGCTTGGAGCAACCCGATCTAGCAAGAGATACCTGTCAGCCTCACCTCTGTGCCTGGCAAGATCATGGAAGAGCTTGGGCACATGGAGGGAATATTGTATATTTAGAAGACGTTGTTGCAAAACAGGTCCCGTTCCTGAGTCATGGTGGAGGGAGAGACAGGGAGGTGAGTCGAGACAGCCAGCATGGCCTCACCAAGGGCCAGCCTTGCCTGTGCAACCTTGTGGCCTTCTAGGGTGGAGTGGCTACATCAGGGGACAAGGGCAGAGCTACGACTGTCGTCTCCCTGGTCTCCTGTAAGGGCTCGGGCACAGTCCCATCCCTCACATGCCTCTCTCTCGGTTGGAGACACATGGATTTGCGGGGCGGACTGGTTGGTGGATGAGGAATTGGCTGGATGGTCACAGCCAGAGGGCAGCGGTCGATGGCTCAGTGTCCGGATGGAGATCAGTGACACACGGTGCCCCTCACGGGTCCGTACGGGGAGCAGTACTCTTTAATACCCCGTCATCAAGGACATAGACAGCGGGAACGAGGGCACCCTCAGCAAATTTGCAGAGGACTCCAAGCTGAGTGGTGCGGCTGACACACTTGAGGGACGGGATGCCATCCAGAGGGACCTGGACAAACTCGAGAAGTGGGCCCACGTGAACCTCCTGAAGCTCTACACGGCCAAGCGTCAAGGTCCTGCACCTGGGTCGGGGCAAGCCCTGGCATCAAGACAGGCTGGCTAGGGGCCGAAGGGATTGAGAAAAGCTGGACATTCACTGGCACCATGTGCTGGCAGCCCGGAAGGGCACCCGCAGGCTGGGCTGCATCAACAGAGGCATGGCCAGCAGGTCGAGGGAGGTGATTCTGCCCCTCTACTCTGCTCTGGTGAGACCCCACCTGGGAAAAAAACCAGAGCCTCTTGCCCTACACACTCAGATTGAGTTCGTTGTTCGATGGGTGTCTGCCTTTGAGAGCTCTCTCCATTTTGTTTTGGCTGGTTGTTTTTGCAGGTTATAATTGTAGCCTGATGTTTATGTTGCTTATGTTATTTACAAATTCCTACTGCAAAAATTAATTCAGAGTAAAGGAAAAGGGAAAATGGAGAAAACATATTGATACTTACCCTGTTTTACTTGGAGTGTATTTATTTTTGAATCATTTTGTAAGCCAACGTTTATTTTGGTTCTGTTTTAACTCACTCTGGACTCTCTCAACAGTCATCTTTTTTAACCATGTCAGTAGGGTGATCTCTCTCTATGAGTGGGGCTGGTATTTTCTTCACTGGGAACCTCTGCTGCACCTCTCCGACACCTGGGAGCTGATACATAGCATTTCGGCATACTACATTTTATTTAGAGAATACGTTAATACCAAAGACAGCTGTTAAAGAACTGCCTTCATTCCACATCAAGGAATATCATCTGGCCATCCCCCTGTCCCCGGAACAAGGCTCTCGCTGTTTAAACAGTCCTAAAAGCCACATGAGTGGAGAGCCTGAGTGCAAAGGATGGGACAACGGACAGTTCTGGTTCTTCTGTAGAGATAGTCCGGCTGTACGGATGGATACAGCTGCATGACTTGCCAAGCAGACAGCCCTTACCTGTTACTTGCCAGTGGTTTATGGTATCCATATACCACAGCTGCTGCAGATATAGCAGTGATCCCACCAATTGCATGAGAAACAAGGACACCACCTCAGGTCTACTGCAACCAACAGAAATGTGGGCTTAACAGAATTTTACCTGTCTATATAAATACATGCTTGTGATCCATTTCAAATTCCTGCTCTATTCAGGACTACAGAATTCAGTTGTGTCCTGGGAGTCAGTCTGGTGGGCCAAGATGGTCCTCAGACATACCAAGCACACGCTGTGCTGGAGTCTGAGAAAAGAAATAATTCTATCATCACAGACTCGTTAACAAACCAGAATGAAAAAAAACCAGTGAGTTTTCCCCTACTAACACAGAGGCTGGTTGTTAGGACTCCTTTTAATACCTGTGGCAGAGCTAAAGGCTTCGTATTCCTTTGCAGCAGCCACAGGAGAAGATGATCCCAGTGCAGGGTGACCGTGTAGTGTCAAAAGCATCTCGACAGCTCAGTCCCGAGGTTGGGATCCCCTTGGCAGCCCCACCCCAGGTGCCAGCAAGCGCTCTCTGCTTAGCAGTAGCCTTCAAACTCAAATTCCTCCTGTTTGTATGACACTTCCCTTCCCTCTTTGCTTCAGCTTCCCCCCCCCCTCTGAAACAGAAATGTCTTTTCAGGTAAGCATTTTAGAAAAGGATCATCTCACGGGTGTGTCCAGCATTCTTAATTATTAATGGTTCACATTTAGTGGAGAGCATTCATAATTTGAAGAGGAACATACGTGAATAAAATCAGGATTCTCAAAGAACTTAACTTCTATTGAATGAGTAAATCAAAATCATAGGTCAGACCATCAGCAAACCTGGGGCTTTGGAAAAAAAATTGTAGCAGCTCAGGTGGCCTCCCAGTGGAAGCAGTCAGGCTTATGAAAAGCACCTGCTCCTTTACTTATGATGTTTCCCACCTAGCCAATTAAGTGGCTATACTTTTTATTAAAGCTAAAAGAAACAGCATGCGTATAGTTTAAATTAAATATTCTGATAAAACTAGATTTAAAAACCTGCAAAAGTGCTTAATTCTTCCTGGATGTTTGTTAATGGTTACAGATCATTTCATGTGTTTCATGGGCTCAGAAAAAAAAAAAACCACACATAAAGTGTAAGAAAGATCAGTGCTAGTCCCACAAGTGCTGTAAAGAGGCTCCCTTATCAAATAGTATTTGGAGAACAAACATGGAAGAAGGTTATGACCTAACTCATTGCATTAGCAATTAGTGTTCATGTGTTGGATTCTTTCCTTTTGCAGATAACTAAGAACATTACGATTAACTTTGAGGTCATGGAACAATGTAGTGCAATAATCCTCTATTTAAATGATTTTTACTTGCACAGCTTTATAAAAATACTGTTTCTAACCTCATGTATCACAAACACTGGGCAACAGAACCCAGGTAAGAGTTAGAAAATTATCTGGTTTTTGAATGGGTTTATACCAACCATGTATTTCAAAGCAAATGAATGCAACGTCAGATCAGACAGACTGAGCATCCCGTGTACACACACACAGAAAGGTTGGTCTTCATCAAGTGATTTTTCTCAGCTTTGGAGCTTCACCAGGGTTT